AGATGTGTTTTCAAAACTTAGGCCTCGTTTGGGAACAGGCTAATTTAGTAACTTTTTGGTTATTTGGCTAAAATATGAGCTAAAAAAAACTAGTATGTTTGAGATGATTTTTCGGCTTTTTACGAAAAGATGTGCAAAAAGTGAATTGAAGAGAGAACTTGAAGAGAGAATCTTTGACTTTTTTGTATGAATTGTTAACTTTTTAGTTAATTTAATAATTTTTTGACTAAAATAGAGGGTTCCCAAACGAGACTTTAATCCCCCAGAGAAAAAGTGACAGTCAGCAGGGGAAGGCAGTGGTAAAGGGTGGTCACAAGAAGAGGGGACCCGCCGGTGGAATGAGGGACTGTGGTTTGGTGATTGGATTTGACGGCAAATGTTGTCGCTGGAGGTGCCGACGGTGGCTACTGAAGTTAGGAGTGAGATTCAGGGTTTGAAAAGACAGGGTAAAGATGATAAGGGCAAGCTAAGTATTATGACAAGTGTAAAGAGAAAATAAATAAGTAATCTGAATTTTTGATTGTGGTGTAATTAGAAATGAGGTGTAATGAGACAAAATTGTCATGCAAGGAAAATTACCCAAAATTATATCAAAATGAATAATTATAATTCAACAACACTCATCTAAAATCATAACAACCAGCATAAGAAAGAGTTCATAATAAAATAAATAAACTCACTACAACTAAGAACTTCATATTGAGAGAGATACAAAAAAATTTAAAAAAAAAATAATTAGGCTAGCTTTCCATCCATGTTTTGTCAACGTTTTTAAGATTTTTTTTTTTTAATGTTGATTATAAAATCTAATTAGACCCAAAAAAAAAAAAAAATTTGTAAAGTTGTTTTCAAACATAGACTTGGCAATATAAAATTAGTGTCCATTTAGTAACATTTGTGTTAACAAGAGTTGTTCTCTCCGAGAGATCTCTCTCTCTCAAATCTTAGTCGCTTTCTTTTTCTTTGCTTTCTAGGGGGAGAGAGTGGTGTCTTTAACCTTCATTTTTCCTCTGTTTCTTTTCTTGCGGTTTCTATCACTATGTTAGCCACTACCGTTCCTCTTATCTCCATCATCGACTTGCCACCGAGGAAACTTTCAAATCTAAACTCAAATCTAATTCATGATCGAGATCTAATGCTATTAAACGTGTTATTATACGTTAGACGACCACCTCATATTCAGAATATTTTATTTTGTAATGTAGAGGCGAGGATTAAGGTACCACTGCTACCAGTTACAACAATGAATGGATCGTGAAGGTGAATGGTGTTGTTTGTTTATGGGTGATCATTTTGTTTTGTTTCGTTTTTTGGTTCGCTTTTATTTTTTTATTTTTTTTGCAATAAAATCTCTCTATGTAGAGGTTTTCTCCTTTCATGAAAAGTTTCTCCTCCTTGTGTAAAAGTTTGTTTTTCTCCTTACGTGGAAACTCGTATTCTTGCTACATGAAAGTTCTTTTTATCCCTTTTGATATTTATTTTGTACTCCAATATAGTTTATGATATATCATATATTAAGCATTGTGCTTTTCCATCTAAAAAAAATGTTAACAACAGTTATCCATTTATTATTTATTGTTATAAAAAAATTGGAATTATAAATAAGAAATCGTTTTAGTGTCTATTTTTATTTATAAAAAATTATGGATAATTTATAAAATTTATTAAATTTTTATAAACAAAAAAAATACTTTCATTTGTTTTGAGAACAAAATTTTAATTATTTAAACCCCTCATATCAATGTCATTAGGGTAAATTACAAATACGCCTCTGAGGTTTGCTTAAAATACAGATTGTCTCTGTGATTTGAAAAATTACAAATATCCGCTTATTAGAATTTTTTATTTAACAGAATTAACTAAAAAAATAAAATTCATAATTACTCTCCTATACCATAATAAAATTACCTAAATTATTAATTGAAACATATTTTTAACATCATTAAAAATTCTTAATTGACTTGATGATTTATTAATAAAATGAGCGATTTGTTATGAAATTAGAAACCTCAGGGGGTGGAATATAATTTTCAAAACTATAAGGGAAAATTCGTATTTTAATGAAATCTTATTTTTTAATTTACCCATGTCAATTATTGACTTGTGATATTACTAAGTAATAATAGGGAGCAGCTTGCCTCCAATCCTTAATCAGACTGGATGGTGTTGTTCGGGCTGTGGAAGCCCACCACAAGTCCTATTTTGATAATTCGAACCGCCAATGTGTAGAACTCGTCGAATATTATATGCCTGTAAAAAATCATGTTGATCGAATATCAATAGCTATGTGATCAAATCAGTTTTGTATAAAATAAAAAAAATGAACGGTAAACAGATTAATGGCTGACAAAAAATTGATAAGATGAGTTAGCTATCGATATCCGATCAACGTGATTTTTTACAGGCATATAGTACTCGGCGAGTTCTACACATTAAACAGTTCGGATTATCAAAATAAGTCCCGTGGTGAACCCCTACAGGCCGAACAATACCGTCCAATTCGATTAAGGATTGGAGGCAAGCTGCCTCTTAATAATAAAACAATATATTAGTACGTAAATCTCACTAGTCAAATGTATTAATAATTCAATTACTTTCAATAATTGTGCATTTTGGAGTTAAATGGTTCTTCGAAAAGTGTTAAATAAGTATATTTTTAACTTTTTATGGAAAGATATACAAAAAAATAAAGAGATGATATGACTCAGAAAAGATTATAAATAAATAAATAAAAGTGTGCTATGGTAGCACTTCCAAAACAAGCTCTAATTCTCAAAAATTTAAATTCGAACTTGAGGGTTCCATAGTCCTATTATGAGTTATGTTTTAATGATCTAAACTGTTCATTTTTAAGGCTTTTCATGTATATCATCGATACATCAGATCGACCTAATTTTTTTCATAAATGTATTGGATTGACCTAATTTATATTATCAATCCATTGGATCGGCCTAAATTTTTTCATAAATATATATAAGGAGAGTCTTATAAAATGAACGATTTAAATTTCAAAATAAGATGCGTGATACGCCCCCACAAGCCCCCACAAGCCAGAGAACTTGAGAGAAGCTCAACTCATATGACAAATGTTTTGAAACTATCTAAATTTTCATAATATGTTAAATTTCTCATAATTTTATCATTATTATTTTGCCACTATAAAATTTCTAAAAAATTAGATAATTAGCTTTTAGACAAGAATAAAAATTCAATGTAACAACAATATGGATTATATGGTATCACCAATAAAAAAAAAATTACATTATGTGGAGGGTTAACTCAATAACTGCCTTATCATATATATATATGAAAAGTAAAATATAAGAAATAATTAAACAGTGATACTAAGGTGATGTTTGGTTATCATATTTGGCTAAATAATCACAAAAGGACAAAAAAAAAGTCAAAAAATTACAAAAAGACAAAAATCACAGAAAGACAAAAAAAACCACTATTACAAAACTAAAAAGCCAAAAAAGTCAATTAAGACTATCAAACAAACAAAAAAATCTCAAGCTAAAGAAGTCAAAAAAGTCAAAAAGTCAATTAAAAAAAGTCATTACCAAACGAAGGCTAATGATACCGTGTCACTGTTATGTATATGTATTTTTTTTCCTATGACAGGTTGGGTGAATTGGGATAAACTCCCTTATACACCTTAACCTCTCCATACGTCTCCATATCTCTTTTGTAGGCCTCAATGTGAACTAGCACCTTAACCATCTATCTCGCAAATTTCATAATCAAAGTCATTCCAACAAAAAAATAAGTTTTACCAAAAAATTATAAATACATAAACGAAAATTATTTTATTTTATAAAATGGGGAGCTAACGTTGAATTTTAACCACACACTCAATTTCTCAAATTCTATGTCGTTGTATAAAAAATAGGGGTGCAACTTGGGCGTGCTCAACCTGAGCAATCCGAACTCAGCCTGAATTTTTTTAGGACTGGGACAAAATATTTTTAAATTCGGTACGGGCTTGGGCAAAAATTCAAAAGCCCGAATTAAATTTGGGCGGACTTGGGCAAAGACGTCAAACAATCCAAGCAACCCGAAACCCGAATTATACATATATAGATATATAAAAATATTAAATATACATATAAATTATTAATCATTACATGATATTAAGGTAATTTATATTATTAAATCATATTGAATATATATTATATATACAAATAACATAAAATTTTAACTTTTTTTCTTCTTATTTTCACTCATAAATTGTAAGGACTACTATAGTGACATCTCTCTTACATTATATAAATTATTTATTTTGATGGTTTTAATGATTTTCTATTAAAAAAAATTGTAAATAGATTTAGATTTTAATAATTTAATAATGTAACTGCAAAAAAAAAAAAAAAAAAATTCATTTACAATTCGGACAACTCAGACAATTCGTGTTTAACTCGGGTCAAGCTTGGCCAAACAATCTCAGTTACAATTCGGGCTTAGACGAACTTGAACAGATCTTAGCACAACTTAAATTGGACTTAAATAACCTCTCAATCCGTCCGAATCCGCCCAAATTGTACCGGTAATAAAAAATACCCATTACATGGAAGTTTAATTCCACACAAATTTTCTCTCTCCACATGAGACACAGTGAAAGATCACAAAACGTGGAAGCTTTTTTTTATAGTATTGCAGCAGAGACTAAAAACGACCTCAATTTCCAAGTCTTTTTGTGTGTGGAAGCTATACACATGAAGAATCAAATTTTGTGTTGACATGCTATATGGAATTTGAAAATAAAACCCAAAGAAAACCCAGCCATATTGAATAGTATCTTCTTCACTGTGTTATTCTTTGTGGGAATAGACGAGAAACAACAATGAACAGGTCCTCAGGGATGCATGGCTTTGGAAGTGAGAGAACTCCTCTCCTAAACAGAGAGGTAACTAATCTTTTCACTTTTCAGTTACCCATTTGTAGCCTCTTTGTATGTGAATGTTTGATTGTGTTTTTGTTTTCCTTCTTTTCATTTTTTGTTTTTTTTTTGTTTTTTTTTTTTTTGGGTGTTGAAGTAAGGTATTTATGTTATTTCTGCACTTGTTACATAATCCTAATATTTATGTATTGTTTTTGTGTATGTGTTTGATTTATAATTCTTGTGTGTTTGTTTTAAAGGATCGTGGTTAGGTGTTATGAATTCCTAACATGTTATGTTTTTGAAACAAAACAACGAAAAATTCTAAAACTTTTCATTTGTGTTTAATTTTTGTGTAGTTTTCAGAACCCAAAACAATTTTTTGGCATTTCTTCTAGTGAGTTGTTTTTAGAAAAAAGAATTATGAGTACTGTTTTAAAAAATATTTTGTCAAACGAAATAGAAAACGAAAACATAACCAAATTCAGTTATTGGGTTCTGTTTTGTTTTGGTTTATGGAGTTGCCCATATAGAATATTCTAGTGCAGTGCTGGATTTTGATACTTAACTATTGAGTTTTTGACTGATGGGTCATGTTAAGTTTGATCTGTTTAGATAAACCCCAAGTCTTGATTCCTTTCCATATGTAATTTCTTGAGATTTATGCCCACTCTGGTTTATTCCACTAAATTTGCTTAGTATAGGTTGATGATTCAGTATAAAATTCTTGGGTCACTTTCGCAGTGCTCAACAACTGTTTGTGTTTTAGATCCACACAAAAACTTGACCCAAAAAAACTGGGTTTCTTCTATATCCCCTTCTCAAATGCATATTTATGACTTTGCAATTCTTGAATTTTCCCGATTATTTGTTTTTTACTTTCTTTGTTTTTTGTGCTTTTACATGGGGGAGAAAGAGAAATGATGCCGTGGAAAACGGTCTTCAAACAGACCTTGAGCATGGAGATGCAGTACCGGTAATTGCAGTTTCTGTTAGACCTTGCAATTTCAAATCTTTGATATAATATTCATTTCCATGGGTTAAGTTGCTAACTTTCTTGGAAAATTCAGGCTGCAAATGTCGGGTTTGGTAGAGTACTAGCACTTGTAAGTGGAAATTATCCGGTTTTGTTACTGTTTGAAATACATGAAGTTAATAACATCTCATTACTTGGCAGGCAAAGCCTGATACAGGAAAATTGATTCTCGCTACGGTTGCTCTGTTGATCGCATCCATGTCAAGTATATTGATTGTATGAAATTATTCTATTTGTATGCACGAGCTTGTATTTGATAGTGTAGTTCAACACCATATCCAATTAAGAGACACACGGTATTGATTTTTTATTTTATTTTTTTAACTTGGAAATGTTCATGTTGCAGCCGAAATTCGGTGGGAAAGTAATTGACATTGTGTCGAGAGATATCCAAACACCTCAACAGAAAGATGAAGCATGGGACGAAGTCAAGAACACCATACTATATATCTTTCTAATTGTCATAGTCGGGTATGACCATTTCTAAATTTCTTGCCATCAATATCAGTAATATTCCGAGTCATGTACAATTGTCATTTCAGGGGCTTATTTATCCTATTCTTCTTTGCAGGTCGATCTGCACAGCACTTCGGGCATGGTTGTTTTCTTCTGCTAGCGAAAGGGTTGTTGCACGGTTGAGAAATAACTTGTTCAGTCACCTCATTCACCAAGTTCAGTTATCTTCACAAGTTCCATGATTGTTTTTTTCCCGTATCTTTTGAATTCCATTTGTTACTAAGAGAATGACATTTCTTTGTCCTTCTCTACATATGCTTGGCAATTTAATGGCATTATGAATTTTATGACACTTTCGATGGAAAGGTTTTTCACAGCAGCTAATAACTTTGCAGGAAATAGCCTTCTTTGACATTATTCGAACCGGTGAACTCCTAAGTAGGCTATCTGAAGATACACAGATCATAAAAAATGCAGCAACTAACAATCTCTCCGAGGCCCTAAGGAATCTTTCTACTTCAGTGATCGGTCTCGCATTCATGTTTGCAACATCATGGAAATTAACATGTAATTGCTCTATCATTTACAACCAAACCGCGAACTATATTTATATATCATCCTCATTGTAATGTGCTCATTTTAATTTCTTGTTTGATTTTTTGTCTTCAGTATTATCTTTGGCTGTTGTTCCAGCCATCTCTATTGCTGTCCGCCAATTTGGTCGCTTTCTTCGCGAACTATCTCACAGTACTCAATCTGCTGCTGCCGTCGCTGCCTCAATTGCTGAGGTTTGTTGGTGACAATAGAAATTTTAGTTTTCTCTATGTTGAAACTTGAATATTTCAAATTTAAAATTGTTTGTTGTTAGACCTTACAATCTCTCAAGCACTGAACCAATTTAATGGTGTGATGGGAAAGGGTTAGAGAACAATAATTTAGGGTTGGGAATATATCTTCTTTATATTGGTTTCATTGCTCATGAAGATCAACCTTAACATAAAAAATCTAGGGTTTCAAAATAAGGAAAGGGAAGAATTCTCTTAAATATATAGTTAGACATAGGAAAAGAGACTCAAGTGTGCTTATATAGGACAACTGCAAAGGCATTTGTTAGATATATGCCAGTTGTGGAGTATACAAGTTGTAAATTGACTAAACTACACATTAATAATATTATAAACACTTTGAAATATTCCTCAAAAAGTCCATTTGTACAGTAAGTTTTCGTTATTACTTAGTACTATTCATTTTCCGCAAAATCTGCAATTGTTGTTTAGGAAACTTTCGGTGCCATAAGCACAGTGAGATCTTTTGCTCAAGAAGAATATGAAATTTCACGCTACGCAGAGAAAATTGATGAGACATTAAATCTTGGACTTAAACAAGCTGTGACTCTCTCTCTCTCTCTCTCTCTCTCTCTCTCTCTCTCTCTTCACATGCGCGCACAAATTGAAGTTGTTTTCTGCTGCAGAAAGTAGTTGGATTGTTCTTCGGAGGTTTAAATGCAGCTTCAACACTATCCGTTATTGTAGTAGTTATCTATGGAGCCTATATAACAATCCAAGGCTTTATGACCCCGGGTGATCTTACATCATTCATTCTTTACAGCCTCACAGGTATACACCCTCATTATTATCCACATTCAAATAAAGTGGAATAGATACTAGCATTTTAACAAGGATTCATTTGAGATAGTTTGAAGATCTGATTATTAGTTAACACAACACAAATGTCTTTTTTGGGGGGGCAGTGGGATCATCGGTGTCTGGACTATCTGGATTATACACAGTAGCAATGAAAGCTGCAGGAGCTAGTAGGCGGGTTTTCCAGCTTCTGGATCGCGACTCATCCATGCCAAAATCAGGAAACAAATGTCCTTTGGGGTTGATTTTTTTAAATTTTCCATCTTGATCTCTTTCTCTTTTTGTTAATTATGACTAACACACTTCACTGTCAAATTTGAATAAAAAATAGAACGATAATTGTGAATTATGCGTAAAGGACCAGATTATGTTTATGACAATGCAATGTCCAAAAGTGATAATGTATTGATTGTCATCTATTGTAGTGGTCAAGATGCGGAAGTGGAGTTAGACGATGTCTGGTTTGCCTATCCCTCGCGACCAAACGATATGGTGCTCAAGGTAATGATCTCTCCCTGACTTCTTTCAGATTGAACACACTATTTGGCTTTAAATTTGAGTGTTCTGATAGAACCATGACTCATTCTGTGAATTAGGGAATAACATTAAAACTGCAGCCTGGTTCAAAGGTTGCTCTGGTCGGTCCAAGTGGTGGTGGGAAGGTAATATATTATTAAAGATTAGTAATGGATTCATGTTTGTGCATTTTTCTTTCCAACGTTTTCAAACTCAGGCCATTCGCCAAACCAGAAAAGGATCCGAGTTAAGGGTCATTGAATGTTTGTTAAAAAAAGTTAATTATACTTGAATACCAATCATGACATTTCGTGTGGATTTTTACAATGTTTGCAGTGACTAGATCGTGCGTTTGAGCCTTTGAGTGTTCAATCGATTTTCTTGAACAGGCTACCGATTCAAACAGATATCTGGTTTAACCATACCAAAAAAAAAACCCGGTTTTTGATCTAAAATGGATTCAAGGGTTTATTTGGTCTAGAACCCAGACCAGTCAACCAGATGGTCCAACCATGTTTAAAAATATTTCCTTCAAACCCAAAAAAGAAAAATATGCATGCCATCTTATGCGCAAATATGTGAAGATTTTGAGAATAGAGGGATTGGGCATGTGCATCATGACTCATATCTTTTAATTGGATGTTGCAGACAACTATAGCAAACTTGATCGAAAGGTTTTATGACCCTATCAAAGGAAAGATTTTGGTGAATGGTGTTCCTTTAGTAGAGATATCCCATGAACACCTACACAGAAATGTAAGTTGTCCTAACATCTGCAAACAGAAAATTCTAAACATGTTTGTATCAGTTTTCAATGTCTAGTGAAATTTCACATCTAATGGACAACTCTACTGTTGAAATGCAGATTAGCGTAGTGAGCCAGGAGCCCGTTCTGTTCAACTGTTCCATTGAGGAGAACATTGCTTAAGGATTGGACGGCAAAGCAAGCAGTGTTGATGTGGAAAATGCAGCTGTAAGATTGCCATATCCACTTTTTGTCTTTAATGAACATTTTCAAAAATAATATCAATTTTATTTTTTTTTAAAGATCCGTCTAAACTAGATGACCCTGAATTTTTTAATTGAAAAAAGTTCACTAAAGATGAAAATAAGCTAAAATTTGTCAGAAGAGCTTGTAAAAGTTGGCTTATTTTCTTCTTTACTGAATTTTTTTCAATATTTTCTTATTTTTTAAATTATTGGGATTGTCTAGTCTAGACAGATTTATAAAGTAAAATCTTTCGACTCAAAATTAAAAAGAAGTTCACTAAAAAAAAAAAAGAAAAAAAAAGCCAACTTATAAGTTGCTGCCAACAGAACTTTAAATACTCGTGATTCTGTTATTATTAATTGTGATAATTGCAGAAAATGGCGAATGCCGATGAATTCATATCCAAATTCCCCGAAAAATACCAAACCTTTGTTGGAGAACGCGGGGTGAGGCTTTCAGGAGGTCAGAAACAGAGAGTAGCAATTGCAAGAGGTCTTCTAATGAACCCAAGAATTCTCCTCTTAGACGAAGCCACGAGTGCTCTTGATGCTGAAAGCGAATACCTAGTCCAAGTTCGACTTACATACTATTACTCACCTACTTTTAAAAGTTTTTTTTCGTATTTTTAGTTGACTATACATGCATTGCTGTTGTGTAGGATGCTATGGATTCGCTGATGAAGGGAAGGACGGTTCTAGTTATCGCGCATAGGCTCTCGACTGTCAAAAGTGCAGACATTGTCGCGGTTGTTTCTGATGGTCAAGTGGTTGAAAGTGGCACTCATGACGAGCTCCTCGACAAAGATGGTGTCTATACTGCATTGGTGAGGAGACAACTGCAAGGATCCAAAACTTGAACCAAGTTTCAATGATTTAGGTTTCTATGAAGATTGAAGAACGTGGAGGGGAAGTTTATGGATTGGTAAAAGATTAATGCAGATAATTTTATATACTTTTTACATGCCAAACTATCTCATTATGCTTCTTGCAACTAGAAATTTGAGTGTTTGAATGATTATATTTGTTTTGAAAATTTATTTTACTTCTTGTTTAAAAAAAACAAAAATGTTAAATATAAAAAAAATTAATTGGCAATGTCATCAAGCTCTATCTAATTTAATTTAATTTCCATCAATTTTAAATCCAAGCATATCAATAAATCTTCATTTTGGAGCATTTAGTATTCTAGTCCTTCCTATCCAAAAGTAAATCTTTAAGGATTTTGTTAATAAACTTGAAATAATTAATCAACTAACTAATTTGATTGGTCACTCTTATATAATCTGGGAGGTTGAGGGTCAATCTTTGCACAAAAGATTGATTATTTCTTTCTCATTACACGGTTATATTTTTTTTTTTCTCATTATGAGCTATTTATTATTGTAGTTGTTGGGTTTGAATTGTTTCGAGATTAATGTAATTCTTCTCCCATTAATAATTACTTTCTTATTGATTGGCAAAATAAAATAAAAATTACAATTATCGGGAGAAAAGGCTTTGATGCCCAATCATCAAACAATCAACATTTTATGTCAAGAATACATGAAAAAACTCAAAATCAAAAACAATCTAGCAAAATATGAGAAAATTTTATTTACAAGATAAAAAAATGTATTTAAAAAAAAATCACAAACATAACATATAATAATAAAACTTTTTTTAGATTTCATATAATAATAAAACTTGGACAAATTACCAAAAAGTCCTCTTTGAAAAAGGTGTGATCTATTTAGTCCAACAACCTTTTGTTTACACTCAAAAGTCCTATAATGTTTTTCTTCTTCTCAGCCTTTGTTCTTCTCTACCTCTTCCTCTTTCTGATTTCTAGCAATCGTCGACGGGAAACCACATCTTACTTCTTCTCTTTCTCTTTCTGATATATAGCCATTGGCGATCGATGACTACCATCGATTAGGATTCACCGGCAACTACCGACTGTCGACTCCTTACTTCACCCTCACCGACGGTGAAAAATATATGTTTCCGACAAAGAAGATGAGTAGATCTACTTAGATATGATGTAGATCTACATTAGATTTGAGTAGATCTACATCAGATTCTGTTAGATCTAAACAAAAAATAGTTGACGGAGTACAACCATCTCTCTATATCTGCCTCTCTCCTTCGATCTCTTAATTTTTCTACATTTTCTCTGTTGTACATTTCTCTTTTCCTGTTTTAATGGAGAAAATTTTCAAATTTTGAACAAGTTATTTTCGAGTTTTAGTTACAGGCGATGAAAATTGTAAAATTTTACAGTTTCAATTTTTTTTTTTGTGCTGGAATGAATCATGGTTTAAAACTACAAAATTTTACAGTTTCATAACATTCTTTAGAACTATAAAATTTTGCAATTTCATATTATGCTTTTTAGTTTGATTAATAACGATAAATGCTTAATAGATTTTTGCTGTGAAACTGTAACATTTTACAGTTTCAAAGCTTGCTTTTCAATTTGATCAATATTGGAGATTATTTACTTAAACCCTACAAAAATTGAAAAGTAACATATGTTTTTTCCCATTGTTGCTATTTTTTGTTGTTACATTTTTTTCTCTTTTAGTTCATCAAAATTTAGTACTGAGAGGGAGATTTTATGAGCTGAAATGGGCCATGGAAAAGACCGGGCAAGTTAAGTGCCAAACACGTTTGGGCCGTGGTATCTTGGGTTTGTCCAGAGAGGTTTTGCTTGGTTAACGCACAGGGCCATGTTGGGCCGAGCTACTTGGGCTCATTTGTGTGGAAACCGGGCTACCTGAAGTTTCTCGGCCGAGATGACTGCCCGTCATTCTGGATTCCACGGTTCGTGCGTTCATCTCTACGAGAAGGCCTACAGCTAACTGGCCCGACCTACCTCAAGCTCGGCTTGCCGAAATGCAACCAAGCTCGGTCGTTCCGGGGCTCGGCGAATGAATCGCTCAGATATGCCACGGTAGCGTGGTCATAAGAAGCCGAGGTGGTTCCGCCGGTCTGTCGAGCTCTGCCGAGATATCCTGACAGTTTGGTTAGGTGATGATTGCTAGATTTGTGCTGACAAATGGGATAGCAGCACCACGAGTCGAGAAACTAATGGAAGTAGATTTAGGGCGCAGAAGGTATATAGGCGTGTCTGCGTCCCCCCCATGCGGGCAGATGATCATTTGGTGAGATACACTAAACACGGAACTCACTCATCTCTCTCTCTCTTTATCCCTCAGTGTGTGCTAACTTAACCGTCAGAGGGATTTTTCGGTCACACACCGCCGGGTAGCTCACCGCTGTTGTGTTCGCAGGACGATCGGATAGACACGGAGCTTCGAAGAAAGGAGTACGGGCTCGCCGGAATATTTGCTCCCCGTACAATTGGCGCCGTCTGTGGGAAACTTGATAGACAAAACCTTGTCTTCCCAGCTCACCTGATCGCCGTCCATGGCGAACAACGACGAGATTCCATTGTCCGCCATCGACGAAGTTAACCCAGAGTCAGCCAGACGGAGAGACGGACTCCCCGCTATTCAGAACATGGCGGACTTGGAGACTTCCCCAAGAGGACATTCAAGAGACGCGCGGGATAAGTGCGGAAGAAGCTTTGGTCATTCTCGGAGTCCAGAAGGTCTCCGGCGGTGAAGAGAATCGCATGCCAGACGTCTGGAACACAAGCTAAGGGACCAAGAAGCCATCATCCGGAGAATGGCGGCGGAAATGGGGGATCTTAAGCGGCATGTCAAAGGGAATGGTGTAGCTGGAGTGGGAGACCCGCGCGGGATAAGTGCGGAAGAAGCTTTGGTCATTCTCGGAGTCCAGACGGTCTCCGGCGGTGAAGAGAATCGCATGCCAGACGTCTGGAACACAAGCTAAGGGACCAAGAAGCCATTATCCGGAGAATGGCGGCAGAAATGGAGGATCTTAAGTGGCATATCAAAGGGAATGGTGTAGCTGGAGTGGGAGACCACAGTGAGCGCACCTAACCCCGCCATTCAGGCAGTCAGAGCCAGCAGCACACTCCGTCCCTCTCAATCACCAGAAGTTACAAGGTTGGAGATTCCGACGCGCCCGTAGAGAAATCCAGCGCGCATGACAGTACTTACCAACCCTCATGTCCGGCGACGACGTCGGGGTACTCCTACTCTGCTCGTTCAAAGGATTTACGAGAAGTCTTGAAGGAGCGGGCTCGCCGACGGAAGACTCAGAGGGTACCAGCATTCCAGCGTTTATCCTATAGGGGTCGCGCCAGTGAAGAGGTCGTAATGCCTCCACCCCACCTAGCTGTGCCTCCTCCTCCAGACACGGATTTGGCGAGGCTGAGCACCACTCCTTTCTCCCTGGAGATAAAAACAACACCGCTTTCCGCGGGCTTCCACCAGCCAAAGTTCACACTCTACAACGGAAAGGCCGATCCATACATGCATGTAAGCCACTTCCGACAGGTCATGGCCAGACATAGGTGGAATGACACTCTTATGTGCCTTATCTTCCCGTCAAGTTTGGGCGAGCTGGGCATGAAATGGTTTGAGAGGCAATCGGAGGGGAGCATCGAAAGGTGGCAGCAATTGACGGAAGCCTTTGTGACGCGTTTCAAAACCAACACCGGAACGCCAAAGGAAGTTGACCACCTTCTTAGTGTCAAGATGGAGTCGAGCGACACACTCAAGGCATACAACTTCAGATACTGGGAAACTTCCAATGAGATCTTGGATTGCCCGGTCAACCTAGCAATCACACAATATAAGCGTGGTCTCCCTGTCAGACATAGACTGCGGGACTCGTTTACCATGCACCAGCCGGCATCCATGGGCCAACTAATGCAGCGCATCAACGAGCACATCCGAGTAGAAGATGATGCGGCAGCATCTACCGCGAAGGCAACTCCGGTAGCAACAGACAAGAGGTCGACACACTCAAGGCATACAACTCCAGATACTGGGAAACTTTCAATGAGATCTTGGATTGCCCGGTCAACCTAGCAATCACACAATATAAGCGTGGTCTCCCGGTCAGACATAGACTGTGGGACTCGCTTACCATGCACCAGCCGGCATCCATGGGCCAACTAATGCAGCGCATCAACGAGCACATCCGAGTAGAAGATAATGCGGCATCATCTACCGCGAAGGCAACTCCGGTAGCAACAGACAAGAGGTCAGCTGGCAAGGTGCACGCGATCAGACAGGAGACCAACCGTCCAAATGATCGCGCCGAGGAATCTGACCGAGGTTCAAATCGTCGAAACCGGGGTAGGGATCGGCGAAATGACCGAGATGAATACCCCACGACAACGAAGTTGATGCAAACAGAAAGTTGAAGGCTCGGACGGGCATCACCACGGTCTTTAAGATTCCAATCTATCGCATACTTAGTGAAATCTGTGACGAGAATTACGTCTGGTTTCCTGCTAAGTTAGGCGATGCGCAAAAAGGCTTCAATCCGCAATACCGTTGCACATTCCACCTGGAGCGCGGACACCGGACAGAGGACTGTTTGCCTCTGAAGCAACACTTGGAGGAGCTAGTCGCAGCCGGACACTTGGACCTTTACATAGAGGGGGGTGTAAAGGCCGCGCATCAAGCCTCGGTTGATCCGCGTGGACCGGATGACCTGGAGGCGCCCCCACAAGGGGTTGTTAATGTCATCCACGGCATAGTGGAGCCGGCACGTGTCTGCGAGCTCCGAGGTATGATCAAGAAGGCAGAACACATGAGGGAAGTCTTGTCGGTCCAGCCCGTGATCAAGAGGGGAAAGACCGAAGAGAAAGACGTGATCAGTTTCTCTACAAGGGACTTAGAGCGCATTTAGACGCCGCACAACGATGCCTTAGTGGTCACACTCCGCGTCAAGGAATTCGATGTCAAGCGCATCTTGATCGACTAGGGAAACTCGGTCGAGATCATGTATTACGATGCGTTCAAGCAGCTCAAACCCCGAGATACAGACTTGGCTCTGGCAACTTCCCCGCTGGTTGGTTTCAACTCGTAACCGAAGTAGCCTTTGGGAAAAATTATTCTGTCGGTCAAAGCGGAATCCGTGGTCAAGCAAATGGAGTTCTGGGTATTGCAAGTGCCGTCTACATATAACTTGATCCTTGGAAGGGAATGGCTTCACCCTATGCAGGCAGTAGCGT